ATACACTCTAAACTAAAATGAATGAATTTTATTATAAAGTTTCTTATTAAAAAAACTCGCTTATAAGGTGCACATCCCTCTTTTCTTTGGCGTAATCTCTGTATACAGGCAACGATCGACTAAATAGTGAAATTTTAGAATCTCTGCAATTGATATAGTGATTTTTCACATCATTGATTTGTTAGACATAAAAAAAAAACTCTTCGAAAGAAAATACAATGAAAACTTTATATCTCAGCTATTATAGTAGTTAATAGTTGGCTCAAACAGACAATACCCACAATGATATTTGCTTCAGATTTTACGAATTTTAATTGCTTAAAATATTTTATTTTATTTATTTGCAATTTGCAAACTAATATATAAAGCTTCAGCTAGCAAATTCATGTTGATTATACTTAAAGTAATATTTCAATTTAATAATGTTGTAAAATAATGATTATCAAATTGGACTATCTTAGTTGAATTTTTCTTTTATAAGATTTTCACCGGGAAATCTTCTTAAAATTTTTTTTTAACTGCTCACATTTTATGAATCTTAAATGATCCCCTTTCATAGTCAACTTACTTTTTCCGTCATCTAATTGTAAGGTCACCCTTTAATTTTTTTGCGTAGTCAATTAAATAATGTTAGAAAATTAAAATGTCTCTGTATTGCATCTTAATTGCTGTAGTTATCCTAAAAATTTTTATATATTTTAGATCAAAAGAGTTGGTTTCTAAAAATTTCCACCTAAGTTTCAATATTTGTGGAAATATGACTTTTAATGAAAAAAATGAATTTTTAGCAAACAAATTACAGAAGATTGTAAGAAAGTTGTATACTCTTATAAAATAAGTCAATCATAATATTTTACTTCATTGTATGTTCTTTTGAAAAATTCGTAACGTCAGTTGAACATGTATGTTAACGGCAGAAAAAATTAAAGATGTAATCCTAGTCGTTTTTAACATTGCCTAAAAATTTTGATCAAAAACAAATTTTAATTTCTTAAAACTAGAGTCTGATCTTCATGTAACGAATAAAATATCAGATGTACTTCACAAAGTTTTTTAGAATTTTCCAAAATTTTATTTGAAGTAGATACGACTGCAACTTGTACAAATTTTAACCAATTCAGTAATGTTATGACTCATTTCGTTTCTGGAACTGTTGCACACATTTTTAGCAGACTTTTACTTTAATTTTTTCTCTTAAGAATGGTATTTTCTGCATTTACTCACATTTTTTTAAACTACGATATACATTTAACTTTTGATCCAAATCGCCTGTTTTTTGGAAACTAGTTATCGGAATTTTTATTAAAAGTCATAGTAAGTTTAAGATCTAGGATTATGTAGTGATAATTTATTTACACCATATAAATGCATGTATTTTTATTATTACTAGTTACATACATTCTATTTTTAAAATTATTTTGTAATCTTGATTAAGAGAGTACCGTATTAGTTTTCCTTCCGAATACATTTAAAAAAAATAAAATTAATGAAATTCTAGCTAAACGAAAAATGTACAGTTAATCTTGAAAACATAAGAAACAACGTTAAAAACGTACATTATCGAAGAGGTTCTCATGAAAGTACTACATCACATACAACTTCATCGGAGTCCACTTCTTTTAGTAGTGGAAATACTAGTACAAGTGATGATTCTTCTAACAGTTCCAGTTCTAGTGATAGTGAGACTGAGTCACTAGAGAGTGATACAGAAAAAAAAAAGATCATAGACAATGAAGGTAATGTATCCTTTGTAATAAATTTTTATGTCGATATACCAATTATACAAGTAATATCCAGAATGTTAAAAAAGTGTAAAGTTAACTACACACTAACCACACAACAACTGATTGCCTTATTTTTTTGACTGTGAAACCAGTTCAAAATTTGGATTATTTCATTGCTTAATATTTTTTTTTTAATAAAAGAAGTTCTTACGAAGTGGAGTATACCTTTAGCTTATAGTTTAGATTTGTACGTATAAGATCCTGTTTATATAAACGTAAAAAATAATAACGTGAAACCGCGACTTATGCTTCGTATCCATCTGTAACACAAAATATATTATTATCAGTAAGATTATGCTACTCATGAAGTATACAAGCTTTAAGTTAAACAACTTTTGATGCAGCTGACTAATGCAATTTTCTTGTCTCTGTACAATCCAGCTGTATGTATTTGCACAACAGTTTGACCCTTTATTCTTATGATGATATAAAATAAGGTAATATTTAGACTCGATCTTAGTAATGTGGAGCATGACTATTAATTCATAATTAAATTACATAATTCAATTTTTCGCTGTCATTCTGACAGCCTCTTCAGGATTAATACTCTACAATCATTCAGAATAAAGAATAAAACTTAGTGGAAGTTTAATGCAACTTAGTTAAACAAAATACATACAGTATAACGCATACAATATACCATGCAGGTACCAAGACAACACCCATTATGGACACCTATGGCGCCTATTACTTCGTCCACATATCGCAACATTTTAATTAGTTCTAATAACAGTCAAGTTCTTAAAAATTAAGTTATAAACATAACAATCTTTCTAGAAAAGTCATACTCAGACCACGCTGACAAGTAAAATATAATAGTCAATCAAGATCGGTACACATACTTATTATACGTGACACAGAGAACAAGGCGCCCTGAAGGCGTCACCGCCAAGGATGTAGAAAGTTATGTGGAATTGTAAATAATCTAATTATAACAAATATAAGAATTTCTAGTGTGTTTAATACAAAAAGGAGACAACTTTCCGTAAGGCCTTGTCAAAAACAACATATGGGTGGTCTATACGGGTTCGGGTAACTTAACTCATATTATCCGATTTAGGAAAGACTCTATTGGCCAGATGCAAGTGATGGGAGGGGATAGATGAGTCGACGCCAGCGTGCGTAGGGGCGAAAATAGGAAACCTGGGGTACCAAATTACTGTCATTTTTCCTTAAGTAAGGAAAGAATAACAGTATTTCGTCTAATTTACAGATGTTATCATGACGTATGCATACATGGCATTAATATTATGAAATTGCAGTTACACAAATGTAAAAAAATGAGCTATGTGGTGCCAAGAACGGTTGTGAAATGTTTGAATGTAACAATATATTAATGAAGCTTCGTTAGTTTTTGATCCAGAGCACACTGTCAGTAGCAGAAGGCAAAAAGAAATATAAATACGTGAAATAAAACATGATCATTGTGATTTCTATTATTTAAACGTTTATGAAACATGGGTGTAAGAAAGTGCTGTGTGTTTTCAGTGTAACAGTAGCGCAAAGACAGATAGAGTAAAATTACATAAATTTCGATGATTATCCAACTGTGAATAAGGGTAATTTTCATGTGCATTGCAACTTAGAAAATTTTCAAAATAATCTGAATTAAACGTACATGCAAGTTAACCATGTAGGGAGCTAACATTACCGAGGTCTGCCTTATTACGACGGCACTTGTCAAACTGCTCACTCCATCACTTTGAAATTTTGTAACATCGCGCACATGACTACTTTCAACCAACTGTTTATTTTTTTTTAAGGCTTTAGAAATAAAACAAATCGAGTGTGTGATATTCCTATAGCCTGTTTTTATGATAACATCCATTATCAGATGAATAAATACACTAACTTTTTGCTAATTGATTGATTATTACTAAAAGTGTGCATCAGTGTATGCTGTTGACGTATAATGTGGGTACCCGTGGTTGCATGATTTTGACACCAAGAGTGGCGCTGTATGACATGCACCTGGCCAATAAAAAGGTTATACAGAAGTGGCATAGTCTTATAAGATAACATGCGGGTGCGGAGTGTGCTACATTGGCCAAAATAAGAGGCACCTACGTGTACGGTTGCGTGAACACAAACGTTACATAAAAAACAAGGACGAAAGGTTGGTCCCTACTGTCACTGTATACATTGCTTTTTGTAACATGAAATGATTTTTATAACATTCAATAATAATAATGTTAATAGACAACTAGATATACAAAAACTTAACAATTCTTATAAAAACTTTTTCTGTCAAATCAAAAATAATATAAATATAAAATCATAGGTTATAAGAGTAAATTTTTATATTAAACACACTAGTTTTATAACATACTTTATTTACTTATATTCAGGATCCCTTGTGTATTTGTCGTTGTTACGTTACGAATAGATTTTTAAAAAACCTACCGATACTCTTTATCACTTTTGATCAAACAAAAACTTAACACATTGTGGGAACCACACATTTCATTGATAGATTTGTAAGCTTTTCAGTATCAAAGAAAATCTGAGCAAATAAAATTTACCATATTCCTTAATCACAATGTAACTTGACCAAAAAATAAGCATGTGGCAAAATACGTTTTTGAAACTGTTACTAACGCAGACGTATACTTCACCAAAATAGGTATTTGTGCATTATGTTGTCTTAAATGAATTGCAATTTCGTGTAAAATACTTAATTTGTTGTATTGGCATGTTCCATGTTAATTGTTTTCTGGAAATTTGCTGAAACTTTAATCAGTTCCTCTTACGTAAGATCGTATGTCCCAGTTATAGAACAAATCGTTGTTTACAGTTGAGTAAGTTTTTTAAATATAATTTTCTGTTATAAATTAAGGATTTGCTCAAAATTTTTCTGTTAATTGTTAAGTTATATGGGTAATGATTGTACAAATTTTAACCAATTCAGTAATGTTATGANGTTAATCAGACGGTCTCTGTAAAGGCACAAGATTAAAAATAACAAAATTATTTAAGTATAGTACAAAAGCAGAAATAATTATGGGAGAAAAAAAGCAAAGTTAACATTCCTAGAATAACATTGAATACTGGCACCTTATTATCATTACCTTTTGTCTGCTATAGAAAACAGTTTTTCTTTGTATTAGCATGTTCTATATTTATTTAGAAATCAGAAAAACAGAGTTTTGATTCTTTACGATTTTATGTTAAAAAACCTTAATTCTTTTACGGACAATTATACGTTACCTTATTAAGATGTAAGAATCCAAAAAAAAATTCTATTTAAATTGCATCCGTGAATAAATCAGAAATTAAAAATATTGTTAAGCTAGAAATTTTTCAGTAATTCAAAAATATGTAACTTTGAAGATCGTCACATTAAAACAGACGTATGTTAATTCATAAAAACCATGAAAAACAAATATGTAAAAAATGTGGAAAGGGTTTTGAAAGAACAGATGGGTTGAAATGACACATAAAATATCACAACATTAAGCTAACAGAATAAATTATTGTTTTAAAAGCTTCATTGTGTTTGTCTATTTAATTATACCTCCTTCTGAATTCTGTCTTTTACTTAATAAAGTCCTCAAGTAATCAAGAATACTATATTTGGGTAAAGAAGACATGGACCAGAAGAAGATTTGAATTGTGAAAGTTCAATCAAGTTAAACAAATAATGGTACTTCAGAGACACATAGTGAGTAAGGGAAAGTGAATAGACAGAGGGAGACCTATGATCAGTGACTTAAAAAAACCCTAAAAACGAGGTATGACTGAGGTACTAAATTGCTTATATTTTTTAACATGAATGATGGTAAAACATAAGATAAATAAGTATTTTATTAAGAGGGTGGTGGAGAGGGAGTGAGTGGGAGTGGGGGACCGACACTCACTTTCGTCAATACAACTATATAATATAGGGAGATATATATATATATATGCATACACATACAAGCTACAACATATATATCGCTAGAGTCACGTGACCTTTTGGAATCTTAATGAGTTGCACACGTGCGCGTCAATTCGTGGTATATATGTGTGACTAGTAAGTCACTATAAGCTGTTGAGCATACACATACGCACACACATACATATTTGCGATTCCCTAACGTCACGTCATTACTCTTTGTTATCAATAAAATTATGCTTTGTAATATCTTACATTAGATTAAAATTATTTTAAATTATAAAGGTATAATTTAATATTTAATTGCGAGTTTAATATCCTTACTCTCTTCTTTTAACAAACTTATCAGTAGTAGTTAACTAGTATTCTACAAATTATTTAATCGCTTTCTTAGAAAACTCAATTATTTAAAAGAAAAACAATCGAAACAACATTTTCTTTCACGTAAGTATTGAGGGTTCCTGCTGGAAAATCAATTCAATTATTTATAAATTGCATGTCGAGGACTCAAAATGAATTTATTAAAAAATGATAATAAGCCTATATTGGACGTAAATTGTCTAAGTTTTTCAACAAATTTTTTCTTACTCCTTAGTATCTGTTGTAGTAAAATTTAAAACGAATATTTTTATGACAAACCACATAATTTTCAGAATTTCCTGCTTTAGAAATATCTGTATTATCATGTAATAAACTTTATAATTCATTATCCCTATCTATAGACTCCACTCACTTGCTTTTTTATCATCAAATAATATTTAAATGCAAACTTGGTTGTTTATATTTATATAACAAATAGTCATGCTCTAAACTACCAAGATTACATTTCAATATCATTTAAAATTCATTATTTAAAATATGTTTAATGAGGAGATATGCATATTATCATATGTCTTATCATGACCCATGTGATTATATAAATGCCATAATTTTAGAATACTTGTTTCCAAAACAGTAAATAATTTGGATACTTAGTCATTTCAGAACTTAAGTAAATATTTAACTCATGGTTTCAAGTTTTCACTTCTGTCGGCAGTCCCATGACTGCGAACTTTTTTTTAAATAAATTTTACCATAT